CACTCACACCCACGCATTGCCGCACACAAAGTCGGTCAAGCTACGCCTGGTCCAGGTCATCAGCTGAAATGGACTGTTCAGATAAAGGAGAAGCATATGGAGTGCTTTTGCAATTACACACAGGAAAATCTTTAGCATTTCCAGCTATTTCTGGTGTATTTTAGTCACAAAATGATGTGAAAGAGTGAAAAAGGGCGGGGCATATGAAAAGGCGGGGCATTTGCATCAAAAAGGGAGATCAAAGAAAGGGAATAATGCAATGGAAGAATAATTTGTGATAAGAGACTATAGAAATCTGTACAATATCAAACATCGTGCACAATATGACAATAAATGGGGAAAGGGAAGAATGTTGCGCAACTCTTCTCGCACTTGACGATAATGTCAAATATGATAAGTAGACACAGTAAAATCAACTTGCACAATACACACACTTTTCCTCTTATTGTTTTCCCAGCACATTTAAATGTGCTGCATTCGTAATTTAATTTATGCTCATAACGAGCACACAGAGCTCTAATTAGCTGCTTTGCTGAGGCCCAAACACAACTACCTTGAACCGCAACAACTGTGGACAATTGCAAGTCCTCTCGAGTGCCAATATTTTTATTGACACTTCCAATTAGTGCAATGTTGTCGAATATTATGAAGCATGGCATTTCACTATGCATCTAATTACGTTTGCCATTATGACTTCGTCAATGGTAATAATTAGCGAGAGAGATTATTTAGACACTGAGAGCGAAACTCTGTCCATTATTCAGATGACAAAACGATGCACACAAACTCCTCCTAATGGTGAATTAATGTCACCGCTGGGGAAAGACAGGCGCTCCTAACCCCTATAGTCTTCTAAGTCGCGTGGGGTGAAGCTCGCCAGCATCGTCTTCAGAACAATATTGACTGAGTTCTGCAGGTTAACAGACACATTGGCATTGTCATTATGAAATAATGAGGTGGAAAATCACCATGGCAGATGACATGGTGTCTCTTTATTGCAAATTACACTGCATTTTGCAACTTTGATGAAGCCGTTAAAGATGCAAATTATCCATTTGTGTTTACTCCATTTGTTGTCATAAAATTACCACCGCAACTCCTCAATTATGCCCTTCTCCATTTGATACGTCGTCCAAGGAGGTGCACAACAAAAAGTGTGCTGACGACGGTGAAGTGCAGCACGGAACATATATAGTATTTCATGTCATTTAACCAAAGAGGCGCATCGCTAGGATGGATAGCAGCACCACAGGTTCTCAGGGGTAAAATTCAATTAGAGCCATTTGCCAAGTTGCTGTACAAGTGCGAATTAATTGAAATAAAACTGCGTTCTCTGTGACGTAATTGTTGGTTGAAGAGGAATTTAAAGACGCTGAGAGTCGTTAAATCAAATGTGACGAGACGAGGATGACGCGCGCGCACATTCTGCCTTTTTCGCAGAAGCATATTTTCAATTAGATTTTCCACTGATATCATCATCTCGACTTAATCTCGTTTAGCCTCAGCAAATCAGTGCGATTCTGATTATACGTAAACCTCAATTAAATCATTGAGAAGGCAGTAAAACTTTTACATGAACAAATATTGCAGTTTTTTTTTTATTGATTCTCAAGAGCACAAATTGTGAGCTTTTCAACTTCATCCAAAATTCAACGTGAAGCCTCAAGAACACTGCCTTAGAGTTTGCTATCGGAGCAATCTGATAGAGCATTAATGCATTAGAGGTGCGTGCATTAAGTGAGATAGAAATTATGCTTATATACAGTTTTCGTAATGGAAACTGAAGGGAGAGATGCTCGTTACTTAAGATTTTGCTGCCAGATAAAAAACATTGCGTGGATCATTTCGAAATTGATCTTGTCCTTGGCTTTATATCGTGAAAATCAACTTGCAGATGCGTGAATGAGTAGCAAGTGCAAGTCTATTACAAGCACATTTTCTCTCTCTCTTTTACTTCTTATTTTTGTGATAGAAAACCTTTTCGCATCGCGGCGAAATAGAGCAATTTTAGACCAATTTCGCATGGCCAGGAAGTAAAAGAAGTTTCCCGAGAATTTCCTTCAACATGAAAATGCCCGTTCATCACTCTGGCATGGCTTTGAGATATTAATCAGAAGAATTTATTATGCAAATGCAACCCCACAAACAATGCATCCCTGCTGATTTCGCAGTCAGACCATTTTTTTTCTTTCTTCCTGCCAATTGTGCATTAATTCTCTCATGTGCACTCGTCCGATTTTCCCAACACATGGAAGAAAGATGTGCGGAGTGTATTTCGAAAACCCGTCAAATAATCAAACTTAGTAATTTCATGCAAATGAAATGAGAGAGTCCTGCAGGGATTAAAGCCCTCATTTCATCTCCAAACAATCATGGTTCTTTTCTCCTCGGGAATACAAATAAAATTATTGGGTTTAGACACCATGGTGATTCCCCTGCATCAATTGTTTATCATAAAATTGGGTGTTTCCCAATTGTAGCCCGTTATTATGAATGCATTAAATTTGCTAAACACAAAGCGAAAAGGAAGAAAAAAAATGTTTTTAGGATTAAAACAAGTCGTTAAACAGTAGTTTGAGAATCTCTGACTGTCAATGTACAGCGAGGGGAAAATGAGTAATAATTATATCTCTCTTTATTGATACAACTCGCACTCTGCGTGTTCTTAAGGAAGAGTCATCTTGCAACTCATAAAATTCTGGAGTTTAGGATCACAAAACTAAAGATTGTCAAGTGTATTTCACCAGTTGATAAATTATTATTTATGCACAGTTTTTCACAATATTTTCATGTGCAATTTTTCACTAATGATTTGACTTCAGTTGAATTGCAATTCAAAATAAATAGAGAAAAGTAAAAGGCTTTAAAGATCTCTGGAAACACTCTTGACAATCCAATGTTTGGAAATTAGAATTTTCTCATCATTCCTTCTTTTGTAGTTTCCCTTGGTGAAATAAACAACGTAAAGAAACAGGTTTCTTTTTTTAAAGATTTTCTCAGACGAAAGCATGACTGCATAAGTCGAGAAGTCTGCAAAGTATTCCGTCCTTGGATTCTCTCCTTTACACCCTTTCTTTTATCAAACTTGAGGCCACTGCAGCAATGTTGTTGAGTGGTAAAAATCGTTTTGAAGAGCGAGAGAAGCATGATTTTTCCTAGCTTCGCCATCAGCCTATTGTTGGCCAATGCCGGAAAGCGTCCGCGGACTGAAGGGGACTTGAATCGTCAGATTGATATGGCCAGAGATAATATTTAATGAAAGGGTTGAAAATTATGTTACTTGTGCTGAAACTGTCGATTATGTGCGACGAGGGACGATGAGGGTCATTTTCTGGGGGGGAATATGTATTAATATAATATTGCAGAAAAAGGGGGAGAATATTTTGGAGATAGATCCATTGTCCTCGGCGGTTTTGGTGTATCTGTGTCTGTGCAGGCACACGGAATTTGCTGGTAAACAGGAATGTAAAAGAAATCGATAGAGGAAATTATAATGTAACCCCTTCGGGGAGTATGTCTCTCAGGGGTGTGGGGGATTAAATGAGGACACCCTCGGCAAGTCATCGGGAATTCTGCCACGACTGCTGGTGTGGTTCAAATGACAGAATTAAATTATACTCAGAGAAATCGGACCGCCACCCACTCATTTCGCACACAATCCCCCCGCCCCCACCCCCGCCCAGGCAATCGCCCGCTTTCTCAGTACATTCCACCCCATTCAGCACAGGCACATTAGCATATTCTAATTTCATATAACTCGCCCGAATTTGAATATAATTAATTAATTAAAATAGATTTACAATTCTGCTGCGGTCGAGACAACCCCACAGCACCATCCAGCCTTGCCGGGGCGCGCAACCCCCAGGAAAACGAGGAGACGAACCAGCAAAATTACAATTGTGCTGATTTTATGCTTCACCCCTTTGGTGAGGGGCAGAGGACAATGGGTCTCGAACTGGTCGGAGAAGGGGCTAACATCAGTCTTTGCGACTGCTTGCTGCTCTCTGTCTTAGAATTCGGCTTTTTTGGCCAGCAAAAGAAGATTGCAAGAGCTGCAGAAGAGGCCTTACATGACAGTTCAAGTTCATGCTTGATGGTGTGTTGTGTAACATTTTGCTCTTTTTCTTCTCAATTTCTTGACCTTCCTCTTTGGGTTCTCGTGACCCAAAGGCGGCTATAAGAATTAAAATGCACTCCGTGTCATTGTCAATGCACTCTTTCCTCAACAGTTCAAGTCACGCCAATTGAAACGCGCAAACTCGCGCCAATCGCAGTTCAACTCCACCGGCAATCACGCTTTTGCCACTGTGTGTGAGTCTTGCCCACCCTTCTTAGACGTGGGCCAGAGTGAGAGAGAGCTTCTTGGGCGCTGCGTTGACAACGTGGAACGAACGACAGGCGAAATGGGGAGACACTTTGCATGCACGTGCACTGAACGAGACAGATGTCTCACTATCCCACTTCTGATGTATTGAGAAGGTGAGACAATTGGCATGCGCTGGAGTGAGATGGAGAGATGATGCCGCGAAATGGAGCCAGAGTGCATTAAGGTGAGCGAGTGGAAGCAGGCCAGATGACTAATTAATTCAATTGTTTGCCTTGGAGTGCAAAAGAGAACATGTAGTCCATGATGGCGCCATCTCTGTTGCTCTCTAGGCCATTTCGCGTGGCCTCTCTCTCTGGCGCAGTGTCTGACGTCCATCTGGGTGTGTGTGTGTGGGGGCGCTTTAAGTGTTGCAGAGCAGGACAGCCTACAAGTGCACTCTCGCTGCGAACTTCGCTGCGCAGATTCTACCTCTCCTTCTGGCGTATTGTGTTCGTATGCCTGCTTGGCTTGATTCGTATTAAGAGCAACGCGCAATAATAGCTTGAAATACACACTCTTTGGCATGTGACGTGTTTTTTTCCGTCACTACTCTCTCGCACACTGTGGCAGGGCGCGCGTGTGTGCGTGCGCGATCCCCTCAGACGGCAATTGAACAATTCGCGTGAATCAGTTAACGACGCCTTGTCTCACGGTGTGGATGTTTTTGTCCATGTGCTGTACACACAATCCACGCGATGCCATTTGCGAGTCTCTGGTGTGATCACAAATTGTAGTGAAGTCTCCGGGCCTCCGCTTTTTCACGACGTGCACACGAAAAGCCGTTGGTCATCTCAGAAAGCCGGACTTGAGTGCGAGATTCCCTAATATTGAATTGCTTTGGAGAAGAGAAGGAGGAGGAGGAAAAAAACAGCCAAAAACGAAATATACAATCACTTTTAATTATTCAATTAACCAAGTTAGTGAAGCTCTGTAACGGAAAAAAAATTCCACCCAGTGTGTATCTGTGTAAATTTGCAGAGACAAATTAAGAGCGACCAAATGGTGGCTACTCTGGACGAATCTTTATTGAAGATTATTATTGATTAATTAAAATTAATTTTCATCATTTGATGTGGTTGTGCTTTTCTCCCATTTCGAATTGATATCAATTGCTAGGCCATCAGTGACCAGTAGGAAGTCGCCGAGACCGAACAGAGAGTCTTTAGGAGGGAAACACAGCCAGCCATAACTGGCTTCAGACGATTCCTCAGCATTGCAAATTGATCGAGAAGTTAATCGAGATTAATGAGGGTGGACAAAAAACAGCCGGATTTGCTTGGACTTTAAGCAAAAAGGTTGCTTTAAGATTTTTTTTTTTAACTGTGACTTTGACACATCCTTAAGACAAGAAGTGCTTGGTGACGTTGAGAAACAGAAGCTCCTGATTATTTAACCAATCAACTGTGTGTTGCTGTTGTGAAAAGAAAACTGTGTGAGAGAAAAGAACTAAGAAAAAACTATAGCGTGAAAACTGTGTTGTCTAGCGAAATCTTCTAAGAAAGGTTAGTTTGTCTATATATAATTACTGAAAAATACTTCTAATACCCTTATTACCCGAGAATTCTCACGAAAATGCTCAATTTCTCCGGAAGAAAACACTTTGGCGAGAGAGTTTCCCGCTAATTTTCCCCGCATTTTCGCGCGCGCCAAACTTTTCTCAATGAAAACACGACAGTATGGCACGTGGCGGAAAACAGCCAGTGTCGAGGAGTGAAGAAATAGCGCCCTCCGTGCCTTTCACGTCACCCTGTACCTTCCAATTGAATCCAATTTTCACTGTATGTGTGGTGATTTTATATTTAGTAACATACTCATTGGGACTCTCCATGGCATATATGTAGGCACTCCGTTGGAGGAGACCACAATTGTTTGTAGTATAACAAAACCACGACGATTTGCTTCGTAATTTGATCAATTGAGATGAATAATAATTTATTAAAGTGGCTCACAACTGCAAGAGTTGGGCATTTAAACTATTTTTAAAGCCCCACCAATGCCTTCGTGTTAGACTTTGTTGAGGGAGAGAGATTGTGAAGGAATTGGGCTTGTTTTGCTGTCCACAAAATGCCCACAATTGAAGAGTATTTTTTTTTTGATCCGAAATAATTTGCATTGTGAGCTCGAAAATGCAAGAGAATGAAAATCTTTGGTTCAATCACAAAGATTCTGGATTCGATTGAACATTAGAAATAAAGATCAATCTATTTAACATAAGATAAGACATTATCTAATGTGTTTTACTCCCATTGACAGCTATGATTTTGAGTTAGTTTGATTATCTTTCAGATCCATTAAGAACACTCACTGTTGTTCAAAGAGTTATGATCAAAAATGAAAGCCAATTGTGCAAAATTAGATGAAGAAAAACCTAAAACATTGCCTGAAAACCTTTTGTATAAAATTATGAGTTATATTTGGGTTAGTTTTCAGTTGATTTTCAGTCGTAAAATCATTATTTTTTAAACATATTTGGCGGAATATCCTTAATTCTAGTCTTATTATTTGTTTAATTGAAAGAGTTTTTCGTTGGGCGATGTCTGAGACATGCTAAAGACTTTGTATAAGTGGTGTACTCATTTCAGCCTTATTATCTCCCCCTTGGTCGGGTTGAGGAAGATAAATAATACTATTTCATTGTGAATTATTCACTCAAATTTTTGCATATTTCGTCGTATTGGAAGGATTAAAGTAATATGTTGAATTTTCTGATCTTCCTTGAAAATGAGTCTCAAAAGCGCGACTTTAGCTGACTCGTCCGTGGTAATGATGTGAGCGATGAAATGTGAAATGCTTCTTTTGAAGCCTCATTAGTCGCTAATTCAATAAAGCCCGTCATGTGAACCTCCATCACTGAAATTATAGGATGTGTCCCGCCAATGAACTCATAAATATTCTGCTCGAAGAATATGTCTTTTTCTCTGGCTGAAGCAAAAAAAAAAAATTTCTCCCGCACGAAATTGGCCGCCTGAAGTAGCGAAAATTTCCACTTGTGTTGAGGCCCACACTGTGATTTTGGGATTGGGTGTTATTGTGGAGTGAAAATAATTATGAAAATGAGCGAGGGACGCGCGAGAGGTGGTGGTTAAAATTCTATTTGTGATGTTTTTGTATCTATGTCACTTGCTGTAACTCTTCGACTCCGCCACAATTTCATTAATATCAATTTAGATTCATCGCCTTCAGCATGATTTTATTGTTACACACTCTATAAAATGTGCCTCAGATCCCGCACTACAGCTGCTTATGGGCATGCTTGTGGAGAAATTTCACAGGCTGAAATGAAAGGTCCGGCACAGCAGTGGACCTGCAAAGTGTGGGCATTTTTGGGGAAGTCAAAGACTGTCATTTCGCGCCAGTGCGGAAAAAGTTCGCTCGCGTTTTTCCGTGAGCTTCTCTCTCTGAGGGGGAGAGTGGGAGGAGCTCAAGAAGCCATATAATTATGGAAATTGAAATCACAAACTAATGGGTTAATTCAATTTACTTCCACTGGTGGAGTGAAAGACACTCTCTGGGAGCAACAATGAGCAACTTAATGCGGGTTCAAATCGCGCTGTGAATATTTAAGTGGCAAGAATTTTGTATTTATAACATATTACAATTGAGGCGGTGGACAGAAAAGAAGAACCAGCTGGCGGGCGAAAATTGAATTACAAAGTGAGACAATATAATTTTTTACACACTTTATAAGCAATGGTGGAAAAATTCTTCGAGAGGGTGTGGCGCGAAACAAGGAAAGAATGAAAGAAAAGGTCAAAGAAATTTCCTGTACATTTGATGTAAAGGCTTGTTTTATAATTAGATCTCGATAAGAGTGGTGGACAGTGACAATAAATTGTCACTGCGGTGTGCTGAAGATAGAGGGGAAAAAATTGCAGAGGGAAACAACCATAATATTGGTTACAATTTATTATAATTTGTCTTCTTTCTCAATGTTAAAATGTGTACAAATTTATCGTCATTCTGAGTGTGGAAGTGAGTTGAAAGATGGCCTAAAATCCAGAAAACCACATCTAGCGACGGGTAAAATATAAATCTATATCCAGTATTTTTGACGAATTGTTTGAGAAAAAAAAAGTGATACTTTTTCCAATATCGCAGTTCCTCTTTAATTGCCCACTTCCTTATGTTTCTCTCCGATAATCCTAATCAATTGCTATCTACCGACGTCTTTATATCGCCCAATCTTAATATTTACAGTGTCTTTTATAGATATTGGGAGAGTCTCTCTTGAGTGTCTCTTTTTTTCACTGGGGGAGGAGAAGAAATCTCCGTCTGTCTGTTTACCCACCACAAAGTCTGGTTCGGAGCCTTTTTAAAGTGTGCGTCGTTTCGCCAGGTAAATTTTCGAGGACAAACACCCAGTATTCCGATGAAGTTTAATTAGAACGAAATGGCGTCTGATGTTGAATGATTGTCTAAGGATTCCATGGCTACGCATTTGAGATGATGCATTTGATGTGCGATCCTCAGCAAAAGAGGGGCCACTCTTGAGAGTTGGTCGAGAGAGAGAGAGACCACATACCAGCGCATAGCTAAATCATAATTAATTATCTTGTCTATATAATTCGAAACGTGAACCACATCGTCTTCTCCACTTCTTGTCGTCGTTTATCTGCCCATCATCCCTCAGCCCGTGCCTTCTTCGCCCCCGGTTCACACTTGATTTTTTTTTCTTTTCGTGAAGACCTCAATGGGACGCACCAAATGTGCCGTGGAGAAGTGATTGTTCAACACCTCCCCCCTATAATGACAACATTTTCTGCAAAATACCCATCTTGCCGTCAAACTGTTTCAACTTCACGAGTTTTACCGGTTTTTCGCACTGCCATCATCGTAAAGAATTTTTATTGGGAATTTTATGCATAAACCAGAAATAATTAAACACTTTTTTAGCCATTTATTTAATGTCTCATGTGTGTGTGCGTCTTCACTCTGCAAAGTTGTGGGACTTTCAGCAAAAAATCTGCGCCCGTATCTAAATTGGATTTGAAGGGCACGAAATTTCTATTATAGAGCATCAATAAATGTATCGAAGTGACATGAATAGTGTGACATTAACATAAATAGGAGAATGTTTTGCCAAGTTTGCCGATCGTAAATTTTACACCATTCATTGCAAAATGAACGATCAGCTTTTTACTGCTATAACCCCATTCAATCTCTCTCTCTCTCTCTCTGTCTTGGATAATTAGAAGACGTCGCGCAGATGGTGTGATAATTTCCTGGCAAAAGTCCTTCCATTCCCTCCTGCTGCATCTCCTGAAAATTGAACAGGCAGGCGAGGATGGATTTCGAAATAATCGAAACATTTTGTACAAATTCCATTAGCTCCAGAATAAATCAATTTTCAATCCCTCGCAATTTACCCAATCAAAATTAAATTTAACTCATTGATTAAATTACAATCCACACAATTTGTACGACACTGTGTCTCATTGTAATCCTGGGCTTGTATTTTGGCGATGCGGTGGCAAAATAAGGGCGTTGTGCTGCTTTCCGTTGAAGAAGCCATCTTTGACGCTACTAAAAGTCAACTGATAGCGTCATAAATCCTACGTCTCAGCTGGCATAATCGCTTCCCACGACAGTCCTCAGCCAATATTGCTGACAATATCACAGTCATAATTATTGGGTACTTTTGTCTGTGGCTCATAAAATTTACACTCAATTGTGGCTCAAAGGCAATATTGTCACTGTGGGATTTTCACCGGTGAGATGTCATGCGGCGCTTCTTGGCATTTTTAAGGGGGGGCCCCCAGAGCATCCACAGTCTGCGAGCAGAGAATATTGAGGTGGCGGGCAATAAAGGTGGCCGTAGAAAAAGAAGTAGATGGAAAAAGGTGTGTTTTGTATCGCGATTTAAATTAATTCTGATCGAATGCTCAACGGTAGATTAAATCCGTGACACTGATGACTCATTAATACAATGAAAATCACGAGTTTCGAAACTATGGGACTTTTAAAAGTACCCCACCTCTCTCTCTCTCTATTATTAATTTATATCTCTGGCTAAATAAACAAATGAGCCCTAGAGGTGAGTTGTTAGTGGTGCAGAGACACGCGGAGAGTCAAATTAAATTTCGTATTAATCATTCGGGGCATTAGACGAGGCCCATTAGCGGAAGAAAAGTCCAAGATGCGTGCGTATAATATAAAAAAGAGTCAAATTGAGAAGTGTGTGTGTGAGAGAGAGATATTAAGTAAAACCAATAAAAGGAGATGAGGCGAATTTCGAGTGCCTTTCCACTGTATCTTTCACATATAACAAGAGCGTCTGAGAACATGAATTATTGTTTGCTGTGTATGAAATAGAGAGAAAATTTCATTTATAGTGCAATTATGTAAAAGACTTCAATCCCAACACTCGCACTCCCTTTCTTGCTTCCAGTAAACCATAATTAAATTTCAGAGGCCATAAATTTGCTTCCGATCGTGAATCTCTCCTCTTGCAGACTCTCTTCTCGCCCTTTTCTTGCAATGTTTTGGGCGAAGAGAGTGGCGCATAAACAAACCCGAAAATTCACTGCCGATCGATTTGAGTTGTAAAATTTCACAGTCAAAGAAGGGGAGAAAGATTAGACCAAATTTCACCCTCCTTCAATTCCACACACTATCTTCACTTGATGCACCCCAAATCCCAGAAATTCTCTGGCTGTATCGATTGGGAATTTTGGGGTAATTGTATTTCGCAACAAATTGCATTTAGACATTTGGCCGAAGGAAGTGAATCAAAGTGTGATGGAAATTGCATGATGAGACAAGGGCGTGATGGGAGAGAAAGGATCAAGATTTGAATGGAAATAAGGGAAATGGTCAAGAAACAGTTTATGCAGTTTTTTTACAGCAAACAATTAAGTATTAATTGACAAAATATCGAAAAATTTTACAATTCCACTTTCAACCATGATTTTGAATGAAAATAATCAACACTCACCCGATGTCTTTTATGACAATCTATGAAATGATAAAGTTGATCATAAAATTTTACACTCTTCCGCTTAGGTGAATTTCACGAAAAATATTTTTGACTAACAACTAAATCCATAACGCGAGTGTGATGAAATATTTTCCACACACGTGTTGTGAATGAGTCTGAACTTAAGCCAATTCAAACCGCGGTCTTGACCCTTCCCGAGAGCTGCACAATGTTGCAAGTCCAATTTATAATGATTTTGCAGTGTGGAATCAATGCAGAAAGTGCTCTGTTCCACTGTGATTTCTAAATAGCCCTTCAATTTAAATCTTTATTAATAAGCGGGAGGAAGTGTCTCTGTGTCGCTTAATGCCCATGTTGGGGGCAATGCGAGGACTCTCGCTTCGTCCTCCTTAGAATGCTCTTAATGGTAAATGATGGCGCGAGCTCATGTGTGGCGTTTGTGTGTATGTAAATGATGTACTTTGCCGTTCAATTCTCCCAAAGATAGTGGATACAGAGGCAGAGAGAGGGAGAGAGGAACAGGGTGTGGCACTAAATGAGATTGAATGGGGCAAAATGAGAAACAAATTTGGAGTGGAGAAAAAGAAGTTGGGAATCAAAATTGAATATAATGTTGGAAAAATAGAAGAAAAATCGCTGGGCGAAGACCAAGTCATTTTTTAAATCATTCAAGATAGTCGATGGTCTTTCCTACCTCAACATGCCATTGAATTGTCTTGGCGGCGCAAAAACAACCATCTCGATGGTGTCTTGGAGGAATCATTTAATTTCTCTGAGGGCTTTTTTTTCCTCCTCCTCCTTCAGCTTCTCCGTCGTGGCTCGGGAAGCCTTTCCTCACTCCGCGGCCACCATCTCGCCACATTTCTAATTTACTAATTGAATTAGAGAGAGGCTGTGGTGGAATTGGACATGCGGAGAGCGCAGAGGTTCACCCTGTTTAGGAGTTAATATTAATTTGGAATTATTTTGCCTCCATCGTCTTTCGTGTCTCTCGTTGTCTTGCTCTTGTTGAGCGCTTCAAGTCATTCCAACAAATCATCCAATAAAATCAGAAAACAATTAATGCTGACTCACTATTCCACCAACACCCCGCGCTCTTCCCCTCATTCCCGAACCCAAGACAATCATTAATTTCTCCATCTGTCGAATTCTCCCTCTCTCTCTCTCTCTCTCTCGTTCCGCCAACCAAACCCAAACTGATACACTGGCGAGACATGGAGAAGAAATTCCATAGAGTTTAATGGTAACAATTTCTCAATTTTAATGTGACTGCGCGTCTCTCGTTCGCCTTTCATGCCTCCTCTTCTGACATTTGCATGGGAGATATTGTAATTAAATCACGATTTTTAATATTAATTTCGCTCACACGTTCCCCGAAAGAAATCATCAAATTGATCCAGCGAATTCCAAGAAGAGTGTCTTGCGCTGGACAAAAATTCCGTGGCCTGATTAAGTCAATTCAGTGCATTCTTTATATAATGAATAGTAGAACGATTGATTATAGCGATTGAATGTTTAAGGGTGTCTAAAATTAATTATGATGTTTAACTCAATTCCTTTTTCTGCACGATCGAGAAGAGACGCCATGAATAAGTTGGTTCAGCGCAGTACTCTTGACTGCAAAACATTCAAATATTCCCAATAATCCAATTGCCTAATAAGACATTTTATGCTGTTAAATAATTTCCAATCACATTCTTTTCTCTCCAAATGCAGACACACGACTTCATCCATTGAGGGAGTGACTTGGAGTTTGGCAAACGCAAGAACAAAAACCTGAAAACCATCGAGAGTTCAGAGACTTCGCAAGCGACACAGTGGAAAAAGCTCAAGGAGATCCAATTTTGAACGCTTCCGGTGAGTGCCTTTTTTTTCGTGTCTTTCTCCTTCGGCTGTTGTTCTTCAGCACACCTCAGTTGACCATAGCTCGTCTGGGTTTATTAGGCACTCTGACACGTGTTTTAACGCACATTAAAATAGGGATGGGATTGTTAAAGTGTCAGAGCAATAAAATTATTTTAATATGACGATAAATAACGATGGATTTTTCTCAGCATTAAGTTTTTCTACATCGTTAATGGAAATTTATTTACACACACAAACTCTGTGTGAATATGATATTTGTAAAGTGCATATCTTTTGCTATTTTAATCAGAGTCGATCTCTTGAATTATGGCGGGAGTTTTAGGAAATAAATTTACTTTTAATGTGTAATTTCTCGATTAGATTTCCAACCTATTCTGTGTGTAAAATGATGAGATTCATCACTCCCTTTGCCATTTAGTCTCACGCATTTGCCTGAGAATCCCCTCTAATAAATTGCCTTTGACTCTTTTGGCTAAAACTTTTGACAGACTTAAGATGATGACTCTTTTTTTTTTTTAGCTGTTTTTCCCTCTTTAATGCATCTCAGTGAGTGAAGAAATTCCCCGTTCTTCTTCGCCAAATGGCATCTTGTCCCAATGATAAGCATCTCGATGATGTTTCGCGCTATAAATTGTGTTTCTGACTGGTAATTTGGAAGCCGACAAAGTGCCAAGATTCGTGCTTATAAGAAGGAGAAGACACACCAAATATTAGCATAAGCTTTTTTTTTCTCCACATTTCTTCCGCTCTGCGTTCGTCATGGCGACGCGACCAAAAGGTTTTCGGGGCGAAGTGGTTAGGAAAAGATATCACATAGTGAAATTGAGACGGAGCTCATTTTGTTTGGGGCTGCAATTAGATGACAAACTGAGCGACAACAAGAACTTTTATGGCACTTAATTATGCCACTTTTTGCCTCATTGTGTAGCTGATAAGTTGCTCTGGCTGAGAGTGTGCGCGAGACAGGCAAATGCCTAGAGAGTGAGAGAAATTATTGTAATTTTGATTGAAGCTCATTATGACGCACTTTTAATGCGACACTTCTCATCAGCGATGGCACAGAAAGAGTGGCCAAACGAGAGAGAGAGAGAGAGAACAGAGTCACGAACTTTATTCTTGAAATGTATATCCACATAATTGATGCTATATTTAAATATATACACGGTATAATGACGATGATGATAATAATAACACCACAAAGATGGGCCAGAGAATGAGAGACTGGCACACAATTTATAACTTTTATTGCTTAATTGTGTGTGGCTAGGATGACTGCAATTATAAGTAATTTCCAGTCTTTCTGGCTATTTTTTTTTCGTCCCTCTTCGATTCACCTTTTTCTCCTTATATTTGCTCTTCTTTTCACGCTCTTCTCCAATGGCACTTTTATTTTATCCACTCTCGCGGCGATCATCGAATTAACCTCCTATTGATTTCACCTCTTTTCACCCTTCGTCACCGCGATGATCTTGCGTCCAGCAATTTTTTTTTCTCCCCGGCAAGAAAGACACTTTCGTGAGGCTGAAAAAGAGACACACGTGTCAATGTCAATGTGGTTATTTCTTCAAGTGTTACTGCTTATGATAATTCTCCAGACGATCGTGTTTACTTGCGATGTGTTTGTCAGAAGAAATACCATAATTAGAATATTTAAAACATTGTTGGGAGTCTCATTAATAAGATGTAGTCTTAGGCATTTTGCGAGAAAAATCAACAATATAAATCTACATTTTACGACACTCGGGCATAAAGTGGATATTCAACGTGAACATGGAATTGGAGTGAATTAATCTGGAAATTAGTTTAAATGAGCACATTTTTCTTCGATTTTATGGGTGTGTCAGTCAAACTGGGCGTCTTTGGAGTGGAATTTACTTTTCAAATTCAATTTGCCAAACACACATAATGCAAATAATAAACGGGCTGTTGATTAGAAGTATAGTTTTCAAAATTCTACAGAATTTGGTGTGATTTGGAAATTAATTTGTTGGTTAAAATAAGTATAATCTGTTTGGAAAGAGGCTTTTAGTGTCAATTACGTCTTAATTTTATTTCTATTCTTATTTTCTTTGTAACACTATCAACTTGAACTTGAAATCGCGCGTGTTTCTGCCAGAATCTCTCAATCTTGAGACAATGTGTAAGGCGAGTGCCAAGTTTGGGGCGCTCTTGACTCATGATCCGGACAAAGGGGGGGGCAATTGCTCATTGACTTAATCCCGAATTCATGTGATTCGTGTCAGCTCGCCTGCCAGATATCAATCACGTCGCCGAAATCTCGGTGGCTCTCGTCTTTGGGGCATGACTTTGGCCAGAAGTTGATGTGTCGTAAAATTTTACGGCCCAATTGTGGGGTGGCGCACTCGTGGGCGGCCACCCTTGTCAGTGAGACAGACTCCGGCCACGGTTCCGGCCCACTGGAGCTCCTCTCGTGCCGCTGGACGGACTGGGGAAAGAGTGTGGCGCACGAGTTTGTTGCCTTTTTGGCGCGCGAGCGGGTCGAGCAGAAAAAAAGCGGCAGAGATGGGTTCTCGCCTCCTCTTGAACATGGCTGGAAATGCTTTGTATAAAAGTGTGCACAAAACGATGAAGCGGCGGCCAAGAGGCACGCGACAATTTGTTGACGTAGGTCTTGGTGCTGAACTCTCGACGGTAGACGTCGGGCGGAAGTGTGCGGCAAAATGTGGAGTTCTGCCGCCACCCCGTCAGGACGCCCGTCGGTGTGAGTGCGTCTGTATTGGGCTCAGGGGAAAGTGTCGGGTGAAAGCGAAAAGAGAAAAGTCTCAGCGCCACGAAGAAAGTGGGGAAAATCCCCGCACACGATGAGAAAAATCTCTCATCGGATTTGGGGTGGCTTTCCTGCGAAGGATGTTCTCAGCTGAGGTGAAACTTCAACTTGTGAAATCATCTCGCAAGCCAATTGATCATTGAGAAATATTCTAGCAATTCACCACCATCTGTCGGATATTGTCGCCTCTGCGGAATGTGAACACCTTGAAAGTGTAGCTCACAAACCTAATTTTTATTCCTTGGCCACCCTCGGCATACTTTTCCCACCCCATCCGCCCTCGCGGTGACTCTCTCTGTGGGGGCATTTACAGAGATTACCGTCGGGGGCTATTAAATTGTGGCAATGGCGCGGCTCCTCGACAAACAGAAACAATATAATTCCCCACAATGGAAATTCGTATGCTGAATGGTCACCATCCAGTTGCGTCGCTCTCTTCCTCTATCATCGCCAATAAATCTTTATGGCGGGAGAGACCCGCCGCCGCCCCCAATTGTGTACAATTTCCACCCCCCGAGCCCAAGGCATTTCGGCCGCGCTGACACCCCGAAGGGAGTCTCGAGGGAGGAATTCCAGGCCAAGGTGCGAGGGTGAAAACAGAGAACCCCTTTCTTTTTAACAGCGCGTCCCCAAACGAAATGCCACTGCCTGTGTTATTGCACATTAATATTTATCGAGGTGTGGCTCTACTATTGATTGTTTTCCGTGGATTTCCATCGGCAATGTGGAAAATTAGCATGATTTTGAAGGCAAAATTAGGTAAAATGCTTGATCTATTTGAAAGATTTTAAATAAACTGACTCTTTTTGAATCAAAATGAGCTTATTTAACACAATTTTAGGAGTAAAATAAGTTTGATATAGACTAATTAATCCTCAGACTGTGGATTTCACATATTTTCTCCTCTAAAATAGTGTTGAACTTAAAAATAATAGTGAAATAAGACGCTGAATCTTTTATTTCCAATAAATATTTAATTTAAATCATGTTTTCCGCAAAAATTGAAACTTCCTTAAAGAGAAATTAATTCACACCAAAACCGACATTAGAATTGCATTAATATATTGGTGGAAAATGAGAAAATTCACCTGAAATGTTATCCACTTTCAATTGAAATTCCTGACAAATGGTTGGGCTTCAATTGCAGAGCCACACGTGAAGAATTCGCGCTGCGTTGAAACTGAAGAGATCATTAAAATATCAAGAACGTTTGATACTCAATTACACATGGCGATATAATATTAAGGTGCAGAGATGCCGATGTATGATGGAAAACTACTTGTTAAGTAGTTTATCTGCTGTATATTTTCCACTGGGTGAGATTGAAATGTAATTTGCGCTAAATTATTATTTATGCATTAATGCAAATTTAATTAATAAAGGGAATCTAAGAATGAGAAGGGGGAAATGATTTAATGTGAGGAAAAAGTGTGAGACTGAAATGTATTTTGTGTGCAAATTGCAACAAAACTCTCCATAGCTTTAGGATTAATGAAAAGACTTGTTAATTAACTTCTATCATCATCTTCACGTGTTTGCCTCATGGATTCCACCCAGAGATCGACTGGATTTGTGATGTTGCGATGCATTAAGAACGAATTAAATCTTAATTGTTCCTCAACAGTTCTAATGTGTGTTTCCAATGCTTTCTGAGATGCCTGAGATTCACTCGTCTATGGAAAAAATTGTTCTGATTTTCACAAGCGCGCACTTTACTTCCTCAATGCCGCAATTCTCGCGCCACTTTGCCTAATCCGTCTCTAATGATCGATTGCGAAACAATGTTTAATTGTCATTTCAACATCTCACGCATTAATTAATGCTCATTCTCCACTTTTTTTTTTCCTCCCCTCCAATCGCCTCCCCTTATGCTCTCCACTCCCACAATTAATCATCCGTTTTGCTGGGCACTTTTGCACGTGTCCCGTGAATAATTTCCAATTCGCCAGCATTTTCGAGATGGATGGCGAATTCACTCCGTCTTGGCCAGCAAGACGTCGAAGGTGCACACACTCCTGAGTGTGCAGCGTGGTTAAACGGATAACCCAACGACCGCTAGCCTACCAATAACATGAGTTTCGAATTAGTCTTCGGGTGTAGCAGAAACATAATCTCGAGCCACGGTGAGTGGATGCTGTGTTACTCTCTAAAATATTCTAGAGTGCTCTCGCAAGGAGAAGCCAAAAGCGTCCACTCGTCAGCA